TTTCTCGGGGAAAATTTCCACGATAGAGGAAACAGAAAAAGTATTATAATTTGGGTTTTGGTAGTTCACTTTTGAAAGCGTTTTTTACTCGTGAAATGTCTTTACTATAAGTGTTGTTTTGGTTTATTTTCTCTGCGGAATACGGAACCAAGGTGGTCGAATCGAACCTCCGTCGCTGGCGTTCGTGTATGGGAGTCGTTCGCGTTCGAAGCTCGTGACCAGCGGAATTTTTGGGCCGTTTGCAGAGCGCGGGCTTGTCATTTTGGCCGTTCGGAGTTGTGGTTTACAACATACAAGTCTACCTTCAACGTTTTTTCTCTCTGCATTTTATTTACATGCATTTTGCTGATGTTATTCCATGGGGAAAAGAGCATAAGAATGTTGTTTATTGGGAGATTCGACGTGTCTTGGAATAGAATCCGGTCGGATTGGTTTGTGGTTTCGGATCCCTCTTTCCGCTTATGAGCGCTGCGCTTTTGTTTTAAGCTCTGAAACTGCTCGAGGGTTCGCTGCGTTATTCGTCCCGCTTATAACTTTGATAAGAAGGAGGACTCGGGAAGGAAAAAAAAACTTATATCCACGCAGGGGTGTAAAACTGTAAGAAGTTTAGCAATCCCGTGTTATAGTATTTTATGAAAGAGTGGTCCGCTCTCGGGTCCCGGATGTGGCGGGGGCTTCCCAACTATGGCAAGAGATTTGAAAACTTTCCTTTTCCCCGAATTGATTGTGTGTTCAGTGACGCAGAATTATCACTCCTCTGGGCAGCCATGAGAGAGGGTTTGTGTCTTATCCTGAAAGGCCTTAAGGTTCACGTCTTATCCGCCGGGCGGGGGAGGGGAAGGAGAGACAAGGAAAAACAGACCTTAGCGACGTGAAGGATGGGGTCGATTTTGTCGTCCTGTGACACGTCTCGTTGGCGGGTTTGATGGGGGCAAGATTGGTGGCTATAGAAGGTAGGAAGAGCGCTTGCTTGGGGCGGCTGAATGGCGGAGGCTTTCGTAATGCTGATTGGAAGAGGGGAGGCTCGGGGCTTGGTTTTTATCAGGCCCAATCGTACAGAGATTAGGATTAGGCTGTTTTTTCGGTTTTCATATCCCTTACCCCTCTCTCTTTTAGTTACTGATGTATATATATATATATATATATATATATATATATATATATATATATATATATATATATATATATATATATTATAACTTTTTTCTCTCATGAATCTATTGATTTCGCATTTTTTATGTTATTTCACATTTTCCATATCTCGAAAATGTGATGAATATAACGTTTATCTTAAGAGGGAGAGAGGATAGAGGAGGGAAGGGAGGGAGGGAGGGGAGGAGGGAGAGGGAGAGAGAGAGAAAGAAAGAAAAAGGTTGAGTATGAAAACTGACTTACAAATTCTCCGCTAGGAATATTTTCGGGTGAGGTAAGTGAATAATACTTACGCAGCCAAGCTAAAACATCAATGCATCAACTTTAAACAAGTAAGTGAACATGAAAATTGAATATATGAAAATTAAACAATATATGAACTTTTAAAAAATGCATACGATCAAGAATATACGAACCAGAAACAGTGAATGAATTTGAACCAACACACTGACATTTAACAATTAATTTGAATCTGATAAATGAACTTAAAATAACACACGAACTTTTAACAATATATGGGCTTGATAAATGAACTTAGAACAAAACACGAACATTAAGCAATATATGAACTTAAAACAACACACGAACATTGAACAATATTTGAACTTGATAAATGAACTTAAGACAACACACGAACACTAAACAATACATGGACTAAATGAATGAACTTAAAACACACGACCACTGAACATTATTCGAACCTCATGAGTGAACTTGAAAGGTCGACCGTACTTCATCCGGCCCAGGTAGTGTGTGTCCCGGACTCGACCTGATCCCCAGCGTCCCGAGATTGCGCCAAGAGATTCATAATCCGCGGAAGGATTGGGCATTCCAATCAGCGAATGCTTGGCTGTGTAGTCCTTCCTCACGTGTGATTAAGGAGACGAGCAGAGACGAGTGGGATTTATTGCACAAGACCTAATTACAAGTGCTATAAATAAGGCCGCTGTCACCCTAATTGCCAGTGCAGGGGCGGAGGCAGGCGGGGGTAGAGGGTGGTGTGGGGGACGGGTGGTGGTGGAAGGGGGGGAGGTGGTGGAAGGGAAGGAGAGGGATGGTGGAGGAGGGTAGGGGAGAGGGGATCTTGGTGGGTGATGGTGGGAGGGGGGAGGAGAGGGAAGGGGGGAATCTTGGTGGATGAGGGTAGGAGGGATGGTGGAGGAGGGTGGAAGAGGATGGGAAGGAGGGAGAGGGATGGGAATTTTGGGGAGACGGAGGGAAGGGGGAGGGAGTGAGGCTGAGGGTGGAAGACGAGAGAGGTACAGGGAGGAAGGGGGATGAGCCCGGGGGGGAAGAAGGGGGGGAGTGTATAAGTGAGAGGAAGGGAGGAAGGGAGAGAGAGAATGCGGAGGAGGGCGTAAGGTGCAGGAGAAGGACAGCAGAAGGTAAGGAAGGTGCGAGTGAAAGGCGGAAGAAAGATAGAGAGAGGGATGGATGAGAAGAAGTAGTTGGAAAGGAGAATGAAAGGAAAGCAGAGAACGAGGGAGGATGGAAAGAAGTGATGAGAGAGAGAAAGCAAGGAATAAGTGCGAAGGTGATGGAACGTGCTTTGATAAATGCTGTTTTTTTTTTTAAGACAATTAAGCTGTTGTTAAAGCATTTGCTCCCCCCCTCCCCCCCCCATTACCTCTTAGATCCTCCTCCCTTCCCCTTCAGTCCAGTCAACCCATTTCCCCCAACTCTCCTTCCTCCCTCCCCCTTCTTCCCCCATTAAATCCCTAACTACTTGCTTCACCCCCCTACTTGCCCCCATTCACCCCCCTTAACCGCCATTCACTTTCCTTAACCTCCCCCCCCATTCAGCACTCCCACTCCCCACTCCCCATTCCCCCCTTCAACCCCCACTCGCCTCCCTCCCTCTCCCATTCAACACTCCCACCTTCCCCATTCACACACCCCCATTCATTCCACTCACCCCTCCCTCTTCCTAACTCCACCTCCCCCCCACTCACTCCCTCCAGCCCTCCCCCCGTCCGCCCTACCGCCCCATGCGTGTTGAGGCCTCCTGCGTCCCTGAATTCCCATGGCGAATTACTGGCGAATTCACGCTGCGAGTGATTGTGATTGATGTCTGCAAGCACGATGGATGAAAACATTTTCGCGGTGTTTTTTTAGGGGGGGAGGGAGGAAGGGGTGGGAGGGGAGGAGGAGGAGAGGAAAGGGTGGGGGCGATGAGGAAGAGATGGGGGAGGGGCGAAGGAGGAAGGGGGGGAGGGGCGAGGGAGGAAGGGTAGGTGCGGGGGCGATGGGAGAAGGGGATGGGAGGAGCTGGAGGAGATGGAAGGATGTGAGGAGGGAGTAGGAAGAAGGGGTTATGTTGCGTGTGCATTGTTTTAATTGTTCTTTTTTTGTTCGTATCTATTTGTCTGTTTATCTGTCTGTCTGTTCACACACATATATACACACGTATACATATACAAATATATATGTGCATATATATACATACATACATATACATATATATATATATATATATATATATTATATAATATATATATTATATATTATTATATTTATTTATTTATTTATTTATTTATATATATTTATTTATTTATTTATTTATATACATAGAATACACACACACACCACAACACACACACACACACACACACACACACACACACACACACACACCACACACACACATATAATATCACATGTGTGTGTGTGTCTGTATATCTATCTATCTATCTATCTATCTATCTATCTATTATCTATCTATCTATCTCTTCTCGTCTCTCTCTCTCTCTCTCTCTCTCTCTCTCTCTCTCTCTCTCTCTCTCTCTCTCTCTCTCTCTCTCTCTCTATTATATATATATATATTTATATATATATATATATATATATATATATATATATATATATATATATATATATATATATATATATAGTTTCACAGCACATGTTTCAATAGAGTGCTTTTATCTTCCCCGCTGCTGCTCTCCCTCTTCCCATTCCCGCTTTTTCTTCCCCGCTCCTCGGAATGAGAGAAAGGAGCAATGGAACAGAAGGCCAGTTACGCCCGTGGCCCTGCGACCGCCCCGCCCCAGTGGCTAATCTAGGTGTCTGCGAACCATATATCTAGGACATTTTGAGTCCACTCGCCCCTCCAGCTGGCCGCTTATTTCCCCAAAGACGGAGACCAATTACTGACTGTGGCGGGGCGGGATTGTTTTTGTGGTGGAGGGGTAGTGTGACGGGTTGTGGTGTGGCCTGGGTGTGGTTTGTGGGTTGTTTGGTGCTGAGGGATTGTGGTTTATTTTAGTTATTGTGTGGTGGGACTGTGGCTGTGGCTGTGTATAACGTAAGTGTTAATTAATGCTGTTACGAGTGCTGGGTGCCACACTTACGGTCACGCTGTTTTTACGTCGCAGTGTGAGTGTATGTAGAGATGTCTAAGTTAAGTCCTTTGCCAGTGTGTTTGCAGATGTGCGTGTGCGGTTACGTGAGCGGACACGTACGTATGTGTGTTTGCGTGTGCATGTACATGTGCACGTGATGGGCTGTAGCTGTGTGAGTCTGTTTTTGTTTGTCGTATTTCCTTTAAACATATATATATCTAGATTACATTATGGGTTACAGAAGTCGAACTAAAGGAATACTTGAAATTGAAAGCAATCCATGAAGTCGGTATATCGATGTCACAGCAGATATTTCATAGCAAAGAAAGAAGGAAAAAAGAAAAAAAAAGATAGAATAGAAGAAGAAGAAGGAAAAGAAAATCCCAAGAAAATGAAAACAAGGAGAGAAAACAGCGTAACAAGATAAAAGATAAGACTTTGTAATATCATCATTTTCTTTGAAGTTTGGTTAGGGAGGAGGGGGAGGGGAGGTGGAAGTGACTAGAGATGGGTAAATTAGTGCCTCTGGAGAAAGGGGGGGTGAGGGATAGATGAAGGGAGGGGGAGGAGGAAGTAGGGGGAGGGAAGTGGGAGAGAATTGGGTAAATGATATGCCCAGGGTGTGAGGGTGTATGAAAGATGGGTGAGTGACGTGCTCCAGGAGTGAGGGGAAATGAGTAAATTCTCTGTGGGGGAGGGTTAAAGGGATGGGAGCGGGTGGGTGGGAGGAGGAGGAGGAGGAGGAAGAAGAAGAAGAAGAAGAAGAAGAAGAAGAAGAAGAAGAAGAAGAAGAAGAAGAAGAAGAAGAAGAAGAAGAAGAAGGAGGAGGATGAGGAGGAGAAAAGGGAGAGGGAGAGCGGTAAATGGTAAATGTGTCGTCCCCGGGAGGGAAGGAAGGGAAGAAAAAGGGAGGGGTAAATGAGATGCCCTGGGAATGCAGTGGCAGGGGCGGGTTGGAGGAGGGGTGAGTGAGGCCCTCGGAGGCAGGGGCATTGGAGAGGAGAGAGGGGGAAGGGGAGGGGAGGAGAGGAGAAGGGAGAGGAGGGAAGGTCCTAGGGGAAGAGAGGGGAGGGAAGATCCTAGGGGAAGAGGCGTTGGGGGGGGGGGGGAGGGTAATGGAAGTGACCAGAGCCGATATTGGTGACGGAGGTGGTGATGAAGGAGACTCAAAAAAGGTTATGAAGACGATGGTGATAACAGTGTGATGACCGGCATGAGGGAGATGGAGGGGGAGGGAGGAGGTAGAAAGACGCAAGATAAATCGATGGGAGAAAGGAAGGAATAGGGAGGAGGAAAGGAGAGGGAGTAAAGGATAAAGAAGGGAAGACGATGAAGAATGAAAAATATAAACGATGATGACAGTAATAGTAATGAGGTAGTTAAGATAGTGTTAATAATCATAATGATAACAATAGTGATATTGTAAAGATAAAGATAGTGATGATAGTTATTAAAGAAATTATATAAATAGTAAGAGTGATAATGATGGCATTATTGTGAATCATGATATGTGAATTATTTTGATTGAAATATCTTAAACCGTAATAACCACAATGCAACTAATGATAAGAATGATAATGGTGATGATAATGATAGATACAAAGTGAAAATCAATTTGAGGATAATAATAAAGAAGAAATAGAGAACGGATGAGGATGGGAGAGGAATGGAAAATAGGGAGGTGAAGGAGAAACGTTGAAGGTGGGAGGAGAGAGGAAGGAGAGTGGTTGGAAAAGAGAATGGGAGGAAGGCAGAGAACGAGGGAGGGAGGAAGGAAGTGATGAGAGTTGGAGAAAGCAAGGAATAATGATGTTTATTTTCATGATTATCTCGCTGATAATGGTAATCTTGATGACATTTAAGAACGATAAAAATAGAAACAGTAATGTAAGTGATTAGAAAATTTAGATTGATAATGTTAGATATGTTGCAAAAATGACAGAAAAATTGCGGTAATGATGATAGCTACAGTAATGATTGCAACAGCAGTGACAATAATACAAAAAAGGAGAAAAAAATACGACGTTATAAGAAAAAAGAGATTGAACTAAACCCAAAGAAAACAAATAAACCAAAAAAATAAAACGTAAACAAAGAGCTAACCTACATACACATGACCTCATCTGCCTCTCCCACACTCCTCAAAAAAAAAGAAGAAAAAAGTTGTTTGACACCTCGAAAAACATTCTCTCTCCCTCCCTCTCTCCCTCGGGATTAGAGCGCCGTTGTAAGCAACAGAGCACCTCGGATGTCTTGGGGAATCCCCCGAGAGAGAGAGAAGAGAAGAGAGAGAGAGAGAGAGAGAGAGAGAGAGAGAAGAGAGAGAGAGAGAGAGAGAGAGAGAGAGAGAGAGAGAGAGAGAGAGAGAGAGAGAGAGACGGGACAAAAGAGAGAGACAGACAGACAGACAGAGAAAGAGACAGACAGAGACAGATAGGCAGAGAGACAGACAGAGAGAGAGAGAGAAAGAGAAAGAAAGAAAGATAGACGCAAGCGAGAGTCAGACAGACAGAGAGCAGGATTTGCGTGACAGAGAAACAGCCAGACAAACAGACAGAGAGCCAGACAAAGAAACAAAGGAAAGGAAACCTGGACGAGAAAAGAAAGAACCTATCCCCTTCCCCCTCCCATCCCCCTTACCCGCGCTATCGAAGAGAGAGAAAACGACGGGGAAAGAAGACCCAATACCCTCCTTCTACCCTTACCTAACCCCCACCCCACCCTCCCGCTAATACCCCCAACCCTGCCCCCCTATGATACCGCAAGGACCCATACCCCCCACCCCTACCATTTTATGACCCAATACCCCACTGACCCCCAAATAGACCCCATTGCCCACCAAGGACCCCAATACCCCCCACCAGGGACCCCCAATACCCCCACACCCCAATACCCCACCACGGACTCCCCACCCTTCCACCCCCACCAAGGACCCAATACCCCCACCACGGACTCCCACCCCCCACCACCCAATACCCCACCCCCACCAAAGGACCAATACCCCCACCACGGACTCCCCACCCCCCACCAGGACCCAATACCCCCACCCCCCAAGGACCCAAACCCCCCACCACGGACTCCCACCCCCCACCAAGGACCCAATACCCCCACCCCCACCAAGGACCCAATACCCCCCACCACCTCCCCACCCCCCACCAAGGACCCAATACCCCCACCCCCACCCAAGGACCCAATACCCCCCACCACGGACTCCCCACCCCCCACCAAGGACCCAATACCCCCACCCCCACCAAGGACCCCCCCCCACCACGGACTCCCCACCCCCACAAGGACCCAATACCCAAAGCCCCTGCCTCGTGTTATCGGCCTTCGTCAGGGTTTTTTTTCGTCTGGGTCGAGTCTTTCGCAACAGAGACACTGACGCAGAGGGAAGCGCCGGGCCGATGGTGATCGACACGCTTCCCTTTGTTTGGGTCCTCTGTCGTGGGGAGATGGGGGAGGGGAGGGGAGGGGAGGGGAGGGGTGGAGGAAATTGGAAAGGGGAAGGGGAAGGAGGAAGAGAGGAAAGGGAGGTAAGGAAAGGAGGAAGAGGAGGAAAGGGATAAGGGGAGGAGGAAGAGGAGAAGGGGGTAAGGGGAAAGAGGAATGGGGGTAAAGGGGGTAAGGGATAAGGGGAAGATGGAGGAAGGAAGAAGGAGGAAAAAGGAAGGAGGAGGAGGAAAAGGGGTAGGAAGTAGGAGGTAGAGGAAAGCGGGTAGGGGGAAATAGAAGGAGGGATGAGGAGGAAAGAGGGTAGGGGAAGGGAGGAGGAAGAAAGGGGATATGAGGTAGGAGGAGGAAGAGGAGAAGGAACGGTAGGGATGAGTGGAATGGAAAGGGGGTATGAAGAGGAGGAGGAAATAGTAAGAGGAGGAGGAAAAGGGGTAGGAAAGAGGAAGAGAAACGGACTTGGGGAGGGAGAAGGAGGAAAGAGGGATAGGAAGAAAGAGGAAGGAGAAGGAGAAGAAACAGAGGAAACATGAAACCAGAAGGAGAGGCGATGAGAAAGGAAAGAGTAAAAGAACATGAGGAATATACAAGAAAAATGCGAGGCGAAAGAGAGAGAGAAGAGTGAGAGATTGTTGAGAGATTGAGAAGAGAGAGAGAGAGAGAGAGAGAAGAGAGAGAGAGAGAGAGAGAGAGAGAGAGAGAGGAGAGAGAGAGGGGGGCCAGTAAAATAAAAAAACGTGTGAAAATATACAAGGAAAGCGAAAGTGAAGAGAGAGAGAGAGAAGAGAGTTAGATATGAGATGAGAGAGAGAAGAGGGATGGCGGGGGGAGAAAGATAGGGAGGGCTCTCCCCGGGGCGAAAGAGCGACAAAGGTTACCTCTCATGGGCTTTTGTGAGGGTGGGGGGGGGGGGAAGGAGGGAGGGGTATCTCGGAAAGGGTTGATTGTGTTTTGTTTATTGATTTATTTGTTTATTGGTTTATACGTTTTCGTTTTTAATTATTTATTTGGTTTGTCGTGGTTATTGTATTTTGTTCATTCATTTTTTTCGGCTTTGTGATAATAAAAAAATCGTCGTTATCTGTTTTATTAAGCTGATTGATTTTTAAAATTCGATTTAGCTCTTAATTTATATATAATATATTCGTTTCACTTATTTGTTGTGGAATTCAGGATTTGTTGTGTCAGCTAACGTTAGGTTTTGTTCTCCTTGAAATAAAGTTGCTTTTATCTGGATTTAGGATACGTTAAGTTAATTTAGCCGAGCTTACTACATGTTGTATTAAGTTTAACCTACTTTATTCGTTTACTTAGCGTTACGGAGGCCACTTCCACAGGTGCCTCTGTCTACGCTTCTTCGCAACTTCGTCTCAAGGCAATCTTCTCTCTCTATTCTTTCTCTCTCTTCTCTCTCCTTCTCTTCTTCTTCTCTCTCTTCTCTCTCCCTCTTCTCTCATCTTCTCTTCTCTCTCTCTCTCTCTCTCGTCTCTCTCTTCTTCTCTTTCTTTCTCTTTCTTTCTTCTACTTCTTTCTTTTCCTCTCACATTTCTCTTTCTTCCTTTTCCTCTCTCTCTCTCTCTCTTCTCTCTCCCTCTCTCTTCTCTCTCTCTCTCTCTCTCTCTCTCCCTCTCTCTCTCTCTCTTATCTAGCTATCTCATCTATCGCCGTACCTCGTCTATCTCTCTTTCTGTTCTTTCCTTCTCCTCTACTTTTCTCTCTCTTTCTCTCTATGCCTCTCTGTGTCTCTCGCTTCTGCTTCTCCGCTTCCTTCCGTCTCTATCTGGAGGTCTTGAGTTTAGTTGTACCTCTTCTTTGTGATGTAAGGTGCACCCCTGATGAGTGCCTCAGCAGTTAGTCCATAAACACCTCTTCATGTGCGTCAGCTAAGTTAATATAGTAGAATAAAGGAAAGACAGGGTTGGGCGGCGAGGTTAGGATAGAATAAAAGGATGGCATGGTTTACATTTCTAGTTAGGACTAGAATCTTAAAAGGAAGGTTTGGTTTGAGGCTTAGGTTGAGTTAGGTTAGAACAGCGATAGAATAACACAGGACGGTATATGGGTCTACGGTTAGGTTATTGTTAGATTGGCGGTTAGGTTAATATAGTCCTGGTTAGCGTTTTAGGTTAGGTGTAGGTTTAGGTTAGCTTAGGTTAGGTTAGGTTTAGGTTGGTTAGCAGGTGATAGTTTATGTTAGGTGTAGGTTATATAGGTTTAGTTAGGTCTCTTAGTTAGGTCCCTAGGTTAAGTTGAGTGTTACGGTTTAGCGTTAGGTCCTAGGTTAGTTAGGTTAGGTTAGGTTAGGTTAGGTTAGGTTAGTCTTAGGTGTTTGGCTCTTTGTCTTGTCTTGTTTCCTGCCCTGTTACGATTCTTGGGTTTTACATGGTTAGTGGTTTTAGGCTTTAGGTTTTGGCCTTTAGGTCGTAGGCTTAGCTCTAGGTTAGTTGGTCTTAGGTTTTAGGTTGATTAGGTTAGGTCTACGTTAGGTTTCGGTTAGTTAGGTTAGTTAGGTTAGTGTTAGTTAGGTTAGTAGTTAGGTTAGGTTACGTTAGGTTTAGGTTAGGTGAGGTTAGGTAGGTTAGGTTAGGTTAGGTTGTTTTGTTTTGTTTTTGTTTGTTTTGTTTGTTTGTTTGTAGATTGGGTTAGTTAGTTGTTTTTAGGTTCAGGTTTAAGGTCTAAGGTTAGTTCTAGGTACATAGGACTAGAAAAAAGAAAGGTATGGTTAGGCGTTCTCGGTTTTGTCTAGATGGTGGCTTAGCTTGCTTAGCTGTAGCTTAGCTTAGGAAAGTAATTTAAAAGAAAAGGTATGGTAGGTTAGCTTTTGCTGCCCTCGCCAGCTGTGCCGACGAGGACGAGAGAGAAGGGAAGAGAAAAGTAATTGGCTGAGTTCTAATGAGTTGTTGCATAGCATGAGGAGGTGTGTTTGGATTCGCGGTGAGGAGTAAGAGACAGAGTCAATAAAAAGGGGGCGCGGGTGGAGAGAGAGGAAGAGGGGAGGAGAGGAGAGAAAGAGAAAAAAAGTGGCAGTAATACCTTTGGTCATGGATATGGATATGATTTTTTGATAACGAGTAGAGACAGAGGCAGATAGTGAAAATTATTATTATTATTATTTTTTTTTGAACATAAGAGAGTTAATCGTTTTTTGAGAGAGAGATAGAGACAAAACAGACAGCACAGAGAGAGAGCAAAAAAAAGAAAGGAAGATTAATCGTGAGTGCGAGACAAAGAGAGAGAGAGACAGAGCAGTTGAGAGATTTATTCATTCATTCCCTCCCGCCGGTGAGAGTTCCGATGCCGCGAGTCGAGCGCGAGGGGAAGGGCTTATCGATGGCGTGGATCAGGGGAGTTTCGGAGGATCTCGATCTCAGTTCTTGATACTTTGCGGTCGGATCCATTAGTTGGTTTCTTTGTTGGTTGCGCACCTTTTTCTCTCTCTCTTTTTGTTCTCTCTTTCTTTCTTTCTGTTTGTTTCTTTCTCTTATATATATCTCTCTCTTTTTCTCTTTCTTTTTTTTCTCTCTCTTTCTGTCTTTCTCTCTCTTTCTGTCTCTCTCTCTCTCTCTCTCTCTCTCTCTCTCTCTCTCTCTCTCTCTCTCTCTCTCTCTCTCTCTCTCCTCTCTCTCTCTCTCTCTCTTATTCTCTCTCTTTTCTCTTTCTCTCTCTCTCTCTCGTCTCCTTTCTTTCTCTCTCTCTTGTCTCTCTCTCTGCTCCTCTCTTTCTCACTTCTCTCCTCTCTTCTCTCTCTCTCTCTCTCTCTCTCTCTCTCCTCTCTCTCTCTCTCTCTCCTCTCTCCTCTCTCTTCTCTTTCTCTCTCTTTTCTCTCTCTTTCTCTCTCTCTCTCCCCTTTCAGATAATTAACGTTATGGACTATTAGCTTACTGCTGGGGAAGATTTTGGCAGTTACCGTTTGGCATGTATGGATGGACGGGTGTGCGTATATGTGTGTGTGTGGATGAACGGATGGGTGAACTGGTGGATTTGCGGCAGTTATGTATATAGGTAATCTATGCATTTGTGTTGTGTGTGTGTGTGCGTGTGTGTGCTGCTGTGTGTGTGTGTGTGTGTGTGTGTGTGTGTGTGTGTGTGTGTGTGTGTGTGTGATCTGTGTTGTTGTTACATGAATCTTAGCAGTCAACTTTCCTGTATTTGTTCGTATTGTTGCCCCCCCCCCCTGCCCCACACAAAAAAAGAAAAACAATGTATGTTGTGTGATTGTTTATCGCTGACATTTCTATATTAGTCCATTGTTTTTTAAGCGATATGTGTGATTAGTTGAATCAATGTATTAATGATATCAAATGTTCTTCAAAGATATTTCTGACATTCCCTCAGTTGCACAGTCTTGACGTATGCAAAGTTTTGTTCTTTGTAACTTTAGTGAGTTAACTGGTTTATGCTTCTCATGAATAATCAGGTACATTTTGGTGTTGTTTTTGTTCTTAATGTGAATATTGGTTTAAAGATTCGTATAAATGATGTATGTATACGTCTTACTGTTTTGTCCTCTTGTGTATCATCATTAATTTGATATTAGCACTAATTATCATAATTGTTACCAGTAGTTCTAGTAGTCGTATGGATATTACGATCATCATCACCATTATCCCTATTTGTTCTTCCCCTCTTTCTATATCTTCTTCCTGTCTCCCCAGGTTCGTTCCGCTCCCCCCGCATCACGGAACACCCGACGGACATCACTGTGCCGCGCAACGAGCCTGCGACACTCAACTGCAAGGCGGAGGGCAAGCCGCCGCCGGTCGTCAGGTGGTACAAGGACGGCCAGCTGGTTCGGTGAGTCGCTAGATGGGTTCGAGTCGGGTGGGTGGGGTGAGGGTTTGGGGGCGAGGGTTGTGGGTGGAGTGAGGGAGTTGGGGGGTGAGTGGGGTGGGTATGGGTGGTGTGGGGAGGAAAAGGTTGGGATGGGTGGGGTGTGTGGGTGGGGTTGGTGTGTTGTGGTGGAGGGTTGGGGATGCGTGAGTGGGGTAGGGGTTGGGGTGGGTGAGTGGGGGTTGGTGTAAGTGGGTTGGGTGGCGCTTGCGGGTGGTTGAGTTAGGTGGGAGTTAGGGGTGGGTTAGGTGTTAAGGGTGGGTGGGTGGGGGTTGAGGGGGTTGGGCTGGGGTAGGGGTTTTGGGTGGGTTTGAAGGAAGAACTGTGTTATGGTGTTCTATGGAGGGCCCGGAGGGGTGGGTGGGTTCGAGTGTTCTTTCGAATCCTCTTTATTTTTTTCTTTTGTTCTATTTTGTTCTCCTTTGCTGTTTCTATTCCTGATTTTGCTTTGGTTTCTTCTTGTTTCTACTGTTCCTCTTCTTATCCTCCTTCTCTCCCTCTACCCTACTGGATCCCCCTCTTCCTCTTAAGCCTCTTTCCCCCCTCTTCCTTTTCCTTTTTCCTCTTCCTCCTCCTCCTCCTGTCTGTAATTTCTTTGCCACTTTCTTTATCCTTATTCTCGCCCTGTGCCTCTTCCTCTTCCTCCACCTCTCCCTTATTCCCTTATTTCTCCTCTTCCCCGCCTTCCACCTCTTCCTTATTCTCTATTTCTCCTCTTCCCCGCCTTCTCTTCTTATTCTCTTCTTTTTCCCTCCCCCCACTTTCCCTGAGCAAGCCAAGGTTAGATTACTTCACCCCTCCCCCCACCCCAGCAACCCCCCCCCGCTACCCCCCCCCCCAACCCCCGGGGGACTGACTCGCCAAGTTTTCCAGTTGAAATTTCTCTCGAATCCAATCCGTGGCACTCCCTTTGTGGCGGCCGGGCTTATGCAACATTTTTGTGGCGCCGCTGGGCTCTGCGGGCGTCGTGTGGTGAGGGGGTGTGGGCGTGAGTGTAGCTGTGGGCGGGGGTGAAAGTGTGGGCTTGGTTGTAGGTGTGGGCGTGGGGGGCAGTTCTGGGCGTGGGTGTAGGTGTGGGCTTGGTTGTAGGCGTGGGTGAAAGTGTGTGCGTGATTGTAGGTGTAGGCGTGGGTGTAAGTGTGGGTGTAGGCGTAGGCGTGGGTACAGAGGGATGGGCGTGGTGGGTCTATTTAGGATGAAAATTGAATGCTTTTATGATGGTTATAATAGCTTATATCAAATAGCTTTTTGTGTATTTGTGTTATTTTTCCTTTGTGTGCTTATGCTGTGTTTGCCGTTCTTATTTTTTAAAACAATTTTGCGATTCTCATTACAAAAGTCGTCGCTAATGTAAACAGTCCGTGTATGAGTCTGTGTGTTTATGTACGTGTGTGTGTGTGTGTGTGTGTGTGTGTGTGTGTGTGTGTGTGTGTGTGTGTGTGTGTTTGTGTGTTGGTGTGTGTATGTGTGTATGTGTGTATGTGTGTGTGTGTGTGTGTGAGAGAGAGAGAGAGAGAGAGAGAGAGAGAGAGAGAGAGAGAGAGAGAGGAGAGAGAGAAGAGAGAGAGAGAGAGAGAGAGAGAGAGAGAGAGAGAATAGAACCAGGAAAAGAGAGCGACTCCAGAGAAAGAGAAACATAAAGAGAAGGAGAGAGAGAGAGAGAATGTGAATGTGCGTATGCGTGTATTCAAGTCTATGCATATGTATACACGTACTTACCCAAGTGCACGGGTATAACTGCACAAACGTTCCCTAAACAAAGACACAATAATAAGCCAGCAAATCGCCCCAAAATGGCCCCAAATGGCCCCCAAATCGCCCCAAAGTGAACCAAGACGTATCCAGCACACACACCACCGCCTTGAAGACCCTCCCTGCACACAAAAGGACACACGCACCGAAACAGCGGAACAAGGAACGAGTCGAGAACAGGAACATCTCAACGTAATGGATATAAAGTTGTTTCTCAAGTTTATAGTTCATCTCAAACTTCGGATTCCTCCTCGGGATTACTTGTTTTAGAACTGTCATAGCCAAGTCTTCTCCCGGACGCCCCAAGTTCTTTCGCAAGGTGGATTGTACTACTGAAGGAATTAGGTGTGGGGGCGCGGGTGATTGACCTTCGCTGTGACCCGAGGGGAATGTGGATTTACTCATGGGGGGTTAATATTTACTCTTGATGGGTCAAGGCTCACTCATGGTGAGTTAAGGCTTACTCATAGTGGGTTAAGGGTTATTCATGGTGAGTTAAGGGTTATTCATAGTGGGTCGAGACTTACTCATGGTGGGTTAAGGGTTACTCATGGTGGGTCAAGGCTTACTCATGATGGGTCAAGATTAACCTCGGTGATCTCGGACAAGGATCTCCTTTCTCACTGACGATGGGTCAAGATAAACTTCACTGTAGCTCATGTAGCCTCCGGGACTTACTGAGCCTGGGTTAAGGTTGACCTCGGCGGGCTCAGGTAATAATCTCCGGCCTGACGCATGATGGGTCAAGATTAACATCTCCGGACTTACTCATCGGTCGAGATTAACCTAGGTCGCTAGAAGTAGTCTCCGGACTTACTCATTAATCGGTCGAGATTAACCTTAGGTCGCTCAAGAGTAGTCTCCGGAAGAATTACCTTAGGTCGCTCAAGAAGTAGTCTCCGGACTTACTCATTAATCGTCGAGATTAACCTTAGGTCCGCTCAAGAAGTAGTCTCTCCGGACTTATCATTAATCGGTCGAGATTAACCTTAGTCGCTCAAGAAGTAGTCTCCGGACTACTCATTATCGGTCGAGATTAACCTTAGGTCGCTCAAGAAAGTAGTCTCCCGGACTTACTCATAATCGGTCGAGATTAACCTTAGGTCCTCAAGAAGTAGTCTCCGGACTTACTCATTAATCGGTCGAGATTAACCTTAGGTCGCTCAAGAAGTAGTCTCCGGAACTTTACTCATTAAATCGGTCGAGATTAACCTTAGGTCGCTCAAGAGTAGTCTCCGGACTTACTCATTAATCGGTCGAGATTAACCTTAGGTCGCTCAAGAAGTAGTCTCCGGACTTACTCATTAATCGGTCGAGATTAACCTTAGTCGCTCAAGAGTAGTCTCCGGACTTACTCATTAATCGGTCGAGATTAACCTTAGGTCGCTCAAGAAGTAGTCCTCCGGACTTACTCATTAATCGTCAGATTAACCTTAGGTCGCTCAAGAAGTAGTCTCCGGACTTACTCATTAATCGGTCGAGATTAACCTTAGGCTCTAGCGGTCGGTCGAGATTAACCTTAGTCTAGTCTCCGGACTTTCATTAATCGGTCGAGATTAAATCGTCTCCGGACTTACTCATTAATGGTCGAGATTAACCTTAGGTCGCTCAAGAAGTAGTCGAGAAGTTAGTCTCCGGACTTACTCATTAATCGGTCGAGATTAACCTTAGGTCGCTCAAGAAGTAGTCTCCGGACTTACTCATTAATCGGTCGAGATTAACCTTAGGTCGCTCAAGAAGTAGTCTCCGGACTTACTCATTAATCGGTCGAGATTAACCTTAGGTCGCTCAAGAAGTAGTCCTCCGGACTTACTCATTAATCGGTCGAGATTAACCTTAGGTCGCTCAAGAAGTAGCCTCGGGGCACGAAAGGTCAAGGATCTACATGTGGAGCTCAAGTAGCGGCCGGACCTTCTTATGGCGGGTCAGGATTAGTCTCGAAAGGATTGGGGTTGAGGCAGGTGGGGCCTAATTGAACTGGTCGGAGGCCGTGGGTAAATATTAGCATATTAGCATTGGCAGATGTTAATCTCGGGCGTGGGCGTCGGGGAGGGCGCGCAGGGAGAGAGGGAGAGGAAGAAGGAGGGGGGAGGAGGGGGGGGTAGAAGGGGAGGGAGGAGAGGGAGATTAAGAGGAATAAGGAAGGAGGGAGAGAGGGATAAAGGGAGGGTAAAAGGGGAATAAGGGGATAACGAACGATAGAGAAGAACAAGAACAAGAAAGTGTACAAGAGACATAAAAAGAGAAAAGAGATAAAGAAGAACCGAGCAGAAACAAGAACAGACACAGGAGTCGAATATCCGCACCGAAAACACGCGATGGCAACGCTCTCCTACGCGACCCGGAGGATTCGCCAAAGTTCGACCCGGATCTAAGCTCCAAGGCATTATACAGGCCGTTAGAAGGACTCAATTCAGGATCACTCAACTTGGAGTCATTCCCTCAGAAGTCGCGGGAATAAAGTTTATTGCGAAGGAAAGGGTGGAACTTTATATGGAAATACAGGGAGACTGTATGTCCGTTGATGGGGAAGGAATGAAAACAGGGAAAAGGTGCACGCGCGTTTCGTGAAATTATGAAGAAAATTGAGGGAATGGATTGAAAGGCTGGGATGACTGGAACGATTTTGCCCGCGCCGGAATATTAGCGAAATTTGCATCAAATAATAGCATTGGTGATTTTGAACGTCACTGTCAATCATTCTCGTAATCACGATAATGTGGACATAAATTACCGTGGTTACGATGTAAATGTATGAAAAAGGAGGCATTGGCAACGCTGCGGTTTAGGTATTTTGGTTATATATATTTTATTTTATTTTTATTTTTATTTTTATTTTTTTCGGAGTGTGTGTGTGTGTGTGTGTGTGTGTGTGTGTGTGTGTGTGTGTGTGTGTGTGTGTGTGTGTGTGTGTGTGTGTGTGTGTAAGGAAGGGGCGGGTGGAATAGTTCCCAGCGCCATTTATATGCAAACTCGAATTTACTTGATTAAAATCAGGTTAACTTTGATACAGCGGACTAATTTCACCCCATCTTTTCTTCTCTTTTTCTCTTCTTCTCCCTTTCTTTGCTTCAATCTCTCCTTCTTTCTTTCATAATAAGTTGTAACAAAATATCTTTTACCCCATTTTCTTTTACATTCGAACTTGAAAGAAAACGAGGGGGGACATGACTCGTTTTCTATGAATAGTATTTTGAGCAAAGGGAAAACGGGAATGAACAGGTATGCGTTGGTCAATTTTTTGTTTTAATTTGTAATTTTTCCGCTAAAAGAACTCTGTATATTGGAATTAGTTTTATTTGTAGTATTGTCATTATCTCATTATTTATCTTTTATTGATATTAGTTTAATTATTTGTGTTATCATAATCTTCACAATTACTATCATCGTCATCATTACTGAAAGATGTAAATATTTTAGATGAACAATGCAGCTAGAGCAACAATAGCTGGATAACATTTTATTCCATCGTTATTATGACGTAATTGTGGTAGAATACAGAGCATAATCATATCATTAAAAAGCCTGTGTTTATATTCATCTCAGAACAGGATGCGATTTATGTTAATTTTTTTTTTCAAGTATATAAACACCTCATTTCAAAAGCAGTTTCACACACTGTTAAGTGATACACTTTACATTTTTTTCCGACGTAGAACAGAAGGAAGAAAGAAAAGAAAATAATAGTATATAAAGAAATATATGATACTACTACTAATAGTGATAATAATGATACTACTACTAATAATGATGATAATGATAGTAATAATAATAATAATAATAACAATAATAATAATAATAATAATAATAATAATAATAATAATAATAATAATAATAATAACATTTAAAAATAAAGAAAATAAAATAAACAAATAAATGGAAACAAACAAACAAAACATAGACAGACCCGGGCTTTTAGCATCGGAAGCCAGAACGCTTAAACAATTAACTGGCACACGATCCGGGCTGTTGAATAGTGACGTTTTCCAATGGCCGACAAAGTGGTGCTCCCAAGTCAGAGAAAGTTGGCTCGCGATTAAGCTCTTTCCTCCTTCTCCTTCTCTTCTCCCTCCTTTTTCATCTTTCTCTTCCTTTTGTTCGCTTCCTTCTCTTTGTTTTCTTTTTTTTTCTTCGTCATTTTTCTTCTGTTCATTGTGTGTTGATGTTCCTTTGCTACTTGTCTTCTTCTTCCTCTTCTTCTCCTTCTTCTTCTTCTCTTCTCTTCTTCTTCTTCTTCTTTTCTTCTTCTTCTTCTTCGTCTCCTCCTCCTCCTCCTCCTCTCCTACTTCTCCTCCTTCTTTTCCTTCTCCGACTCTATTTAATTTCTTTTTATGCACCGCCATTTCCCATTATTCTTACTTCTTTCCTCCTCCTCTTTCAGTCATTCATCCTCCTCATCTTCTTCATCTCCATCCTTTCCTCTTCTCTCTTATTTCCCTCATCCGTCTCCCCCTTCTCCTCTTACTCCTCTTTTAATCTCGATTTTCTTACATCCACCACACAGGCCACCCCCTTCTCCCTCCTCTCTTCTCTTTCTCTCTAGTTCCCACTTTCCTCTATTCCCTTCCTTTATCAACCCTCCCCCTTTTCTCCCCGCACCATCGCCCACCTCGGTGCTGCATCCTGCGTGCAATCAGTCAATAATACTTAGACTTAAACAGGAGGAGGGTGTTACTTTACAAACTTGTGGGGAAGATTTGCCTCGCTTGTGGCAGATGTGGATGGGGAAAGAAGGAGAAGAGAAGGCAGGCAGGAGAGGAGAGGGAGGGAAGAATGGGTAAGGAGGGAAGGAGGGGTAGGAGGGGAGGAAAGAGAGGGAGATAGAGAGGGGAAGGAAGGGGAGGGAGGGAGGGAGGGTGGCAATAAGGAGAGGGCAGGAGCAAAGGAAAGAGAAGGGGTCAAAGGAAATGGAGAGGGAAGGAGGGGAAAGAAGGTAGGGAAAGAATGGAGAGAGGGGTAAGAAGTCGAGAGGGGAGAGGGAAAAACAGAGTATGGTTTTTGGAAAGGAGGGAAAGAAAGGGTGGGATGAGAAGAAGGAAGGGAAGGAGGGTGGGAGAATAGAAAGGGAGAGAGAAAAAAGAGCGGGAGAATAGGAGGGGAGGAAGGGACGGGGAGACGAAGGGACCCAGGTGTCTTCCTCAAACTTTCTGCGTGTCTAAGCTCGAGTGAGCAAAAGAGAAGTATGTGGAGAGAGTTGTGCGCTCTTCGTCATAAACATTTGTCCTTGTGTGCGAATTGTAATTGCGTGAATTACCATCCCGTTCCCCCGCAAAACGATATATGTATCAAAAGCACATTTGTAAGAATTATCCTCCCTCTCCCCAACATACTAATATGCGTAATAAAAGAACCGCGCCACATAATGCTAGCGTGCCACCTGACATCATTTTCTTTACGTGATCTTTTCCTCCCCCAGGACGTCCCCCGGCGACCCCAAGTCCCAGCGCGTCCTCCTGCCCACGGGGTCGTTGTTCTTCCTGCGGGTCGTCCACGGGAAGAAGGAGGACGACGCCGGGGTGTACTGGTGCCAGGCCAGCAACGAGGTCGGCACCGTCACCTCCAACAATGCCACGCTCGAGATAGCAGGTAAGGGTCTTAGAAATAGTTTTTTTTTTTTATGTTTATTTATATATTTTTTCTTTCTTCATTTTTTTTCGTCGTTGTCGCCGTCGTCGCTGCCGTTTTTTTTATTTGCTTTACCTTCGTCCTCTTTTCGTCTTATTATTATTGTTGTTCCTCTTTTTTTTCTTTCTATTGAATTTCTTGCAATTACTCGACAATTTATATTTTTAGTCCCTCTTCTTATGATCACTAACTTCATCTACATACTTTCGTTCTGTGTATTTAGATGGAAGTATTTAAATTAGCAATGGTAGAACAACTGTAAAAAAAACAACAAAAATGAAGCACATATAAATACAACGCCTGTAAATAATTTTCCACTTTAAACAAAAGGAAAAAAATGGGATACAGCAAGCCATTTGTTAAAGTCTTATCAACTGGTTATGTTGGTACGAAACAATACACCGGAAAGTGGGACACCACTATACTAACTTATTATTATTAGAGCCTTTGAAGCTCCCTCTCTCTCTCTCTCTCTCTCTCTCTCTCTCTCTCTCTCTCTCTCTCTCTCTCTCTCTCTCTCTCTCTCTCTCTCTCTCTCTCTCTCTCTCTCTCTCTCTCTCTCTCTCTCTCTCTCTCTCTCTCTCCCTCCCTCCCCTCCTTACTTACCCTGCCTACCTACCTACTCCTCTCCTTCCTCCCTTCCTCCCTCTCTCCTTTCTTATTCTGTCCCTACTCTCTCCTCCCTTCCTTACCTCCCGTTCTCTCCCTCCCTTCCTTCCCTCCCTCTCCCTCCCTCCCTCCCTCCCTCCTCCTTCCTCTCCCTTTTCCCCAATTCCTACCACCGCACCACTTAAAACCACCCAGAGAGTATCCGCAGTGTACATCGTCACAGCAAAATCAGCATAGCAGTTCCGAAGACAGACAACCCCCGTTATGAGAGCCTAAGTCCTCGGGCGCGTAAACCCAATTTCGCCCGCGCATCTCCCTTCCCTCCCTCCCCTCTTTCCCCCTTCCTCCTCTCCCCCTCCCTCTTCCTCCTCCTTCCCCTCCCCTCCCCTCCTCCTCCTCCCCTCCCTCCTCCTCCCTCCTTTCCTCCTTCCCCTCCCCTCTTCTCCTCCTTCCCTCCCCTCCTCCTCCTCCTCCTTACCTCCCCTCCCCCTCCTCCTCCCTTCCCCTCCCTCCTCCTCCTCCCTTCCCCTCTCTTCCTCCCCCTTCCCTCCCCTCTTCCTCCTCCTTCCCCTATCTTCCAGAGTGTGAAGTGAATAAGCAGCAGAGGAGTAGGAGCCGCAGTAGAGAGTCGTCGTTCGCCGTCGTTCTTGAGCCGAGAGCAGCAGTGCGCGAAGGACAACAAACGCGGCTCTTAGGGGACTGTGGCGGCGGGGACAGGTGGCTCGGCGGCTCAATGAAGGGCTAATGTGTTTTTGTCCGCCGGGCTTCGGGTGCAGTTGGCAGATGATGCAGCGTGGGCGTGGGAATTCCGAGTGGATTGGACGTCTTGGTTTCTGTGGTGGGGAGGGAGGCGGAATGGGAGGGAAGGGAGGGGAGGGTGGAAGGGGTGAGGAGAGGGAGGAGAGGGAGAGGGTGGAAGGGTGAGGGGAAAGGGAGGGAGAAGGAGAGGGGAGAGGAAGGGGAGGGAGGGGAGGAGTGGGGGAAGTTGTGGGGAGTAAGGAGGATAGAGGGTGGGTTGGGAGTGGTGGTGGCGGTAGTGGTGGTTGGGGGGGGGGGTAGAGAGTAGCGTAATTAAACCATTGAAATTGTTTAATGACTTTGGCTTATTAAGGTTGACGTCTTAAGGGAGGAAGGGAGGAAGGAAGGCAAGGAAGGAGGAGTGGGTGGACGCAGAATTAGAATGGAGGAGGATCTAAGAAGAGAATAAAGGCCTTTTTTTGTGTGCGTATTAATTTGATTATGCGGCGGGCGGGGGCGGCGGGGGGCGGCGGAGTGCGGTAAGATGGCGTCGTCCCCCTCTATTCTACTTCCCCTCCCTCCTTTCCCTTCTATCCCTTTTCCCCTCTCCCTCCCCCTCCACCTTTATGCTACTTCCTTTCCAATTCCCCCTTTTGATGTTCTTCTCCAATCCCCCCATCTATCCCTCTTCCCCTCCCCTCTTCCACCTCTATCCTACTTCCCCTCCCTCCGCCTCCTTCTATCCTACTCTCCTACCCGCCCTCCTCTATCCTTTTCCCCTCCCTACCCCTCTATCGTACTTCCCCTCCCCCCTCTATCCTTCTCCCCTCCCCTACCCCTCAATCCTATTCCCGCCCCCTTCCATCCCCTCAGTACCCATCCACGCGGTCGCTGTGGATTTAAGGCGGGGGTGGGGGGGGGGGATGTGCGCCGCGGGGAGCTACGGAGGCAATGAAGGCGGCGGGAAAGCGAACGCAATTCGTGGGCGGAGGAGACGCCTAATTACGCGCGCTGAATTATGGGGTTCCTGTACTGCTTGTGTTATATATTATATATGTGTGTGTGTGTGTGTGTGTGTGTGTGTGTGTGTGTGTGTGTGTGTGTGTGTGTGTGTGTGTGTGTGTGTGTGCGTAAATCATGTATACCAGAGGTCGGCAACCTTTGGCACGAGTGCCTGACTTGGCACGCAAAACACTTGTCTATGGCACGCTATGATATTCAGAGGAGCAAAGAAAAATTGAACAGCAAATAATAAGAGAGAGAGAGAGAGAGAGAGAAGAGAGAGAGAGAGAGAGAGAGAGAGAGAGAGAGAGAGAGAGAGAGAGAGAGAGAGAGAGAGAGAGAGAGAGAGAGAGAGAGAGAAAGAAAGAAAGAAAAAAAGAAAATTTTAATATTATGGTCAGCCAAATTTTAAAATCGAGAAATAAACTCCTTGCGAATGACCATGCAGCCTCCATATTGTTCCCTGACACCACCGTCTGATAAATTCAGTTGCATGAAGAAAGTAGCCTTGGCATCGCTATCAACATTTGGATCTATATACCAATGTGAGCCAGATGTTTTCACACATGCAGCATACCCTCAGCCCCTATCACTGCAGGCTTATCACAGATCACTCCGAGGGTTGTTTGAAGCTCAGTGTGTCCAGATATTATTGAGGATCAATCTAAAATGATAAAACATTTTTTTTTTGTTACGAAAAATACTAAACGCTACAAAGATATTACATTTATGGTATGCATTATGAAAATACATTTGGGTATACACTGCTGAAAAAAAACTGGCACGCAAGGTTTTAATAAGAAGGCATTAATCACAAAATGGCACACCATGTCCAAAAGGTAGCCGACCCCTGATGGACACTACTCTGTATGTATTTATTCGGATAATGCACCCAGTCCGGCTCGAGGAAGTGAAACGCGAATGTACGTTCCCGAAGACTTTCCCCGATCCCGCCCGGCCGTTCCCAGGGGAGAGGCGGGATGAATGCGTGCGTGATTTTTCCTCTCCTCTGCTCCTCCTGTTGCTGTCCTTCCTTCCTCTGTCTGTTCTTCTTTGGTCGATATTTCCCGTAGTTTTCGTGGGAGCTTTTGTGCATCTTTCTTGCGTCTTATTTTCTGTTATTTTGTCATTATTGTTTGTATTTTACTCTCCCCATAGGATCTCCCCTTCCTTCTCCCTACTCCATTATCTTCCTGCTCCTCCATCTTCTCCCCATTATCTCCATGTCTCCGTAGCCTCTTCACAGCTCCCATTTCTCTCCCCCTCTCCGTCGTCCGCCTCCCTCTTCTACTCGTCGTCTCCCCTCTCCTGTTTACTCTCCCTCTTCTCCCTTCCTCTCCTCACCCTCGTAGTCTCCTTCCTCCCTATTCTCTCCCAGTATCCACTTTCCTTCCGTCTCCCCACGCCCGTAGCCCCTCCCCCTCTGTACCCCTTTCCTCCCAAAAGCCCCTCTATCGTCTCTCCCCATTTCCCCTAACCTCCATAGTTTTCCTCTCCCTGTCTCCCCGTCGTCTTTAGTTCTCTCCTTCTTTCTCCCAATCTCCATGAGTTCTTTATTTTTCCCACTTTTTATTCTCTCCTCTTTCTCCCATCCGTTTTGCCTCTGCCGTCCCTTCTCCCAGTCTCCGTAACTTCTTTCCGTATTTCTCCTCATTTCTTTTGATTCCCCTCTTTTCCTTTCCATTCTTTCCCTTCTTCCTCCATGCTCTCCCTCTTTCCCCTCCTACTCCCTATCTTCTCCCCACTTTCTCCCAATCCTCTGCCCTCTTCCTCTCCATCCTCTCCCCACTTTTCCCCACCTTCTCCCTCTTTCCCTCTTTTCCCCATCCTCTCCCTTCTTTTTCTCCATTCCTCCCCTCTTTCTCCCCATTCTCCCAACCATCTCCCCTCTTTCTCCCATCCTCTCCTTCTTTCCCCCCATCCTCTCCCCTCTTTCTCCCATCATCCCCTTTCTCCCCATCCTCTCCATCTTTTTCCTTACCCTCTCCCTCGCCCGTGTCCAGTCGTTATGGCACCATACGGGATTACGGACGGTGCCTCCCGCTCAGGGAACTCGAGTGCCATTGATC